AATAAAATATAGAATTCTAATCAACCTAAAACTCAACACCATCCAACAGAACAGGCCGCCAGATATTTTTCGTCTAGTCTTTACCATGATGTGTAGTTGAGGTTGGACATATTACATGCAGAGCTGTCCTGTTACAGTGCGTATCATGAGTCTCATCACCCCAGTCATTAAAATTTTGATAATGATTGATGGCTAAGGTGAATTAAGTTAATGTAAATAAGAAACCCATGAATCTCGTTTTCTCAACTTACTATAAATATAATCATTTTTAATTAAAGTTTATGTTGAATTATATCGACATCATCGTTAGGGGATACCCTTTTGTTTAGAATATATACGTATCTCTCGTTAACTTTTCTTCTAACGAGGCTTTTGTTTAGAATACTTGACATTTTGGATATAAGAAATTTCATATAAGATTGACTGTTGGTGCTATCTTTTTCTATATTAAGGTTTTTCTACCTGCATTTTTGTACTCTTTTTTTTTTTTATTGAATATGTACATTCCTAACTAATCTGTTGCTAATATTTAATTTCTAAATTGGGTACACTTTTTACACAAATTTATACATCAAAGAACATGAAAGTAATTAATAATAATTTGATAAGTATTTATTTTCTTTTGAGTAATGCCTAATCAAAAGTTTAGCATTTTCTCTTGAATAAAATACATATAGTTTAGGCCAACTTCGGCCCATCGAAGAAGTCTTAAGAATTTACAACTTAGCACTATATGTTGAGCTCTTATAATTAAATTTTTATTAACTTTTAATTAAAATAAAAAATAGTGTATTTTTTTTATAATTAGATAAAAAAGGATTCAAATTTTTCTTTTTTGATAAAAAAATTATGCACTAATTAATGAATCAAATACTCGAATGTAAATTACAAATAGTGTTAAAATTGTACTCATTCAAAAATAAATGATAAATTTGATTTATTATCTTGAATAGAATAATAAAAATGAATCATATTCCAAATAACTTGTGTTGGAGTGAATATGGGTAGTGGGAGGAGTAAATTTATGCATGGATTTCAGCAAGTGGTCGCACGTACTCATTTACTGGCCTGACCATTGATCATGATCTGCTTCATTTACTGCGCAAATTCACTGTATTATTTATTTCCAGACTTTAAATTTCGTGCACATATTACATATTATATGATCTTGATGGAGCAGTTGAATCTAGCTGCTTGTCAGCTCACACCAGCTTTGCGAGTGAGCATGGAAGGTAGGTATCTGGCGTAAATTGCTAAGCGTTCATCATTTGGTCCAATCAAATGTAGCTTTCACCACTTGAAGAAATTGCACTTCCCCTTTTTTTTTTTTTTTTTGAATGTTGAATGATACAATCCATGTTTTAACAGTTGCAGTATACTTGTTTGCTTGAATTCGGAAGTAAAAATGATGGTGTTGAAGCATTTCTACTAACAAAATCAAACTAAGAAAGATAAATGATAAGCAGTGAAGCTATGGTTCAGCCTCCATATGGAAATTCCAGACACTCTCCAACCAACTTAATTACGACCAGAAAAAAAAAAAAAGGAATGAGCAATGTTTTGCAGACAAGGAAAGGCTAAAACCTAATAAACAAATACATACAACCCTTTTTGTTTCTTCAACTGTAATACTCATGATGAGGCTTGAATGAGTTTGGTGGTTCTCTGTGATTAACAACTCTCAAATTTGAGACATCCTACCTTAAATTAGAAAACAAGATACCTTATTAGCTTCACTGGGGAAGGCCTTGCCTTCTTTCCAAGTTTCCATTTTACCTTTCAACTGAAATGCTTCAGTTTCCCATTCCGTCTTCTTAACCTTATTCTTTGCGTCATTCGTTCAAAGCCACTCAGATGAAAGTGAAACAATTTGTCCGACACAACTCAACCCAAATCCCCCCCAACCAGGATAACAATTTGATCCGAAATAACGTGCAGAAAAGGAAACTTGTATCAGGTTTAGATGATCATTTATAAGGCATAGCTGTACAGGCTATAACGTAGTATCACTCTTCTCCAGGAAATCAATTTCTGCAGCGGCTCATCATCACTCCTCTGTTAGGTAAAACTACCGATCAAGGTGCTTAATCCCCACTCCAGGAAATAGGCAGCCCTATTAAAAACATGTCCAAAAATGAATTTTGGTTTTCCTTCTTGTTTTCCAATTTCCAAATCTGAGCCTGATTACCTCTTAATATATTTTTCAGGACTCAGGATTTACTATAAAATATTGGTCATGTGAATTCTTAGATGATCCAAGATTATTGATACCACCACGTTCATCATTACAGACTTACCATTCATAATCATTTTATGAATTTGACTAAAATACACATATTATTTTTGTTTTTTTGAGACAGACTCGTCTACTAATTTAATTTAATTTTAAAAATAATATAATAATCAAATCGTGTTAAATGTTAACAGCAAGATTACAAAGTTGCATATTCATTGAACAGCATTTAATACATGGGATTTGATTTTGATTGCGTGGAAGAAAAAGAAAAAGAAAGGAAAAAAAATTCTTAAAAAAGCTAACTCATTGGTGAGAGACAATGCTTACGCTTACAATATAATTAAGATTAACACTTGTTAGGCATATAGTTAGACAAAATCTTGAGAATAAAGTGAAAGCTTTTTGTTAAGACCAAAAAATAAGTAATTTTTTTAAAACTTAAAAGGGAGTATTTAATTTTTTGTTGTTAAACAAAAAACAATTTTGATACTTATTTACTATAATGTCACCTATAAATGATTTTTTAAAGTATTAAATTTTAACATTTAAAATTTTCAAATCTGAATATTTAAAATTTAATTTTACATAATATCAAAAACAATTACAATTAAAATTATTTAATTTGATATAAAATATTACAAAGTAGAGATTTAAATTTAAAAATGATGAGAATCCTTCCAAAAAATTAAAATTCAACCTGTCAACTAATCCATCCAAGTCAAAAAAAGTAAAAGCTCATTACCATCTAGTCGCTAAACGCCCCCAAGCCCATGGCCTCTCCACCGTTTCTCTCTCCTTTTCATGGTAATTTCCCTCTTAAAACTTTACAAAAATTCCCCCACTTACCCTTTCCCACCATCTTCCCTGCAACCAACCAAACCCTTATAAACCCCCC